GCAACCCAAATACCCAAAGAGACAACAATGGGTTCCCTGCAGCTGGGACACATCTGCACCCCAGCAAGTATTTGCTGGGGAACAGCTGCTGCTCCTGAATGCTGTGTGTGCCCACCAGTAGAGGTGAGGCAGGGAGGTGCTCTCCCACATCTCCCACGTTGGCTGCCTTCTTGTTGGGCATGGAGGTGATGGAGGAGCTGCAGCACCTCCCCAGCTCTGCACCACTGCAGTGCTGAGACGTGGGGGACATCCCATGGGCCCCCAATGGACATCCCTTCCTATGCGTCCCCAATGGACACTCCTTACCATGGGCCCCCAGTGGTCTCCCCTTCCTATGGGTCCCCAATGGACACCCCATCCCATTGGCCATGCTGTTGGCCAAGGAATGGTGCAGGAAGGGATGATTCCATGCCCATGGTATCAGGGCATGAGGCTTCATCTGACTCCAGCACACCCAGGCACCACCTGTAGGACCAGGGATGGGGTGGGTAGGGGCTCCCACAGCCAGGAGGGGCTCAGCAGGAAGGGGAGAGCTTTGAGAGGGTAAGGAAGGAGTTAAACTCCTGCAGAGCCAGCCCCCACCCTCTCGCTTCTCTGCTAACTTTGGGAGGAAGGGAATAGCATAAAGGTAAGAGTGGAGGAAGGAGAGAGAGGAGACAGATGAGAAAGGGAGAGAGAGAGGGAGAGGGGGAGCATGGAACAGACGGCGGAGAGGGAGCACGCGTGGGGGAAGATGCTGACGCTTCTCCTCCAGCTCTGCGCGATGCAGATAGAGGGGAGCAATAAAAAAAAATAAAAAAAAAATAAAAAAAAAGAAGAAGAAGGCAAAGACCAAGGGAACATGGGAGAGGGAGAAGGAAGGAGCCCAAGCAAGGGAGCATGTGTGAAAGTCGCTGCGAGAGAAGGGGCCTCTTTGATTCCCCGTGCCTCATACCAGACAGTGTCTAGACTGCAGCAATTATTGTCAGCTCAGAACACCCAGGCATTGCCATTTCAGCTGAAAGGGAGCTTAACAAAGAGCGAGGAAGAAAAAAATACCCTGCGAGCAGTGCACTAGGCTGCCTGCAGCAAGAGGGGCTCTTCGGAGGGCCCTCTGCCACCCCAGCCCCCTGGCAAACCCCAGCCCTGTGGGCGTGCAGTGGGGTGGGTGATGCTGCGAGCCCCATCCTGCTGCAGCCGTGGGGTGGAAGCAGTTCCTGGCCCATCCCCAGGGCCCTTGCTTGTGCCAGTGTGGGGGAGCTCTCCACTGAAGGCCCTTGGGATTTGAGAGAGGAAGAGGTGAGGAGGAAGGCTTGGCACTTTTGCACCCAGTGAGCCACATGTTTTCATCAAGTTACACAATGGTTTGGTTGGAAGGGACCTCAAAGATCATCCAGTTCCAGCCCCCGTGCTGTGGCTGGTTGCCAGCCATCAGATCACATTGCCCAGAGCCACATCCAGCCTGGTCTTGGGCAGCTCCAAGGATGGGGGCATGCAATGCTGAGCCTGTTGGTGGCAGGGAGGCTGCACTGTGCTGGGACATGATGGGGTGACATTGCCCCATGGACCAAACCAGCACGAAGACCCTCAGCAGCCCCACATGGAGCCAACAGAGCAGCAGTGCCTTTGTCAAGAGTTTTGTTTTCTCTGCAGTTTGAGGGGTGCCTGCTGCCTGTTCCAAACTCAGTCTGGCTCAGCTGAACTGATTGCCATTGTCACTTCTTTGCCTTTGGGGAATGGGATCTGTTTTCTGACCTGGCCTGGCTGTGCCTGCAAAAATAAGGGCTTCTCTATTGAGATGATGGTTCTGATGCCATCATGTGGGCATCACCAGCCCCACCCAGGATCTGGGCACAGCAGAGCAGAGCTGATGACAGCAGAAGTCCTGCAGAGGTCCAATATGGAAGAACCTCCTCAGGGAGGGTTGTGGCCTTGTTTCCACACAGTGTCTGTGAATATAGGACATTTCCTCATATGATGTTCCCCATGGAGCTCAGTTTGGGGCTGAGAACAGCAGCTCAGGAGTCCCAGTAACACCCTGGGCAGCACAGTGGGGGATTGCCAAATATTTCCTGGCAGGGCCCATGGCTTTTAATGCTTTGGGCTGGTGTTACAGCCATGGAAGACATTGAGTTTCCAACCAAGTGCAGGTGCTGCAGTCATACAAATACATAGGGAGGGTTTGGGTCAGAAAAGGTTTAACCTTCACAGAGGACTTTGTGCACCATGTCCCATCCACACTGCAGTGCCTGTGCCCGCACTGCAGCTCTGGACTGGGGCAGCAGATCCCCAGTGCTCTTCCAGCTGTGGAGCTTTGGAACAACCGCTCCAGAGCTCTGCATCTCAGACCCAACACAACCATGTCATGCAGTGGGAACAACACCGAGATGTCTCTGCACTTTGCCCAAGCTCCCATCTACACGTGGTTAAGCAATGTGAGAAAGAAGACCTTGCTTTCTCCTCCACCCCACAGGGCAGCTCTGCTGGGCTCAGCAGGGGCAGCTCCACTGGGGCTCCGTGCCTCATCCCCATCCCAGGGCAGCCTGAACCTCTTCACCCTTTCTCTCCCCTCTGCAAAGCTGTGTGCTGACGCCAACTTCATGTTTTCCAGTTCCTTTAGATTTACCCCCACTCTTTTTTTTTTTTTTTTTTTTTTTTAAATCTGCCCGCTTTCCTTCCTTCCTTTTTATTTTTTTATTTTTTCTTCCTGGGTTAAAAATAATCAAGTTTCTGGGAAGCAGCAACTCCTGCTGCGCTGCCTCCCCGCTCTCGCCCCGGAGAATAGCTCAGCCCGGCGCTGGGCTGCGGCCCCTCCTCGCTGCTCGCTCCTTCCTCCTCCCCACCCCCTACAGGGATCTGACTAATATGCTCGGGCTCTGCTTGCCAGCTCAGCTGGAAAGGAATTTAACCGTTGCGTGGTCTGGAGGGAAGAGCGGGGAGCCCAGAGCTGCCCCGCTGAGCTGCGACCCTCCTCGCATCGCTCCTGGTTGGCTCCGTGCGTAGCCACGTTGCCCTGTGCGTGGGGAAGAGGGATGGGGAGGGAGGGATGCACCACGCCAGCGCCCAGCATCCCCATCCCTGAGCCCCAGGTGGGTGCAACCATCTCCTCCGTATGTTCCCTGCTTTCCGTTGGGGGCAAAAAACGCAGCACCCCAGGTGCTGTGCTCCCTAACAGCAGGGATTGTGGAAGTGCCCCCCTCACCCACTTGCATTCCCCGTGTGCCAAAACCCCAAAGCGCCGCCGCCCGCCGCTCGCCCCAGGCCTCAGCGCTGGGTGATGGAGCAAAGCAGGGACCTGCAGGATGTGCACGGGGGTCCCAGAGATCCCAGCTCTGCGGCAGCAGCTCCGCAATGGGGCTGAGACCCCGAGCACGGAGTGCTGAGCTCAGAGCTGCTGCAGTGCAGTGCCGTGGCAGCAGCCAGCAGCCCTCCTCCGGGGTGCTGGGAATCAGCCTCTGCACCAGCACAGCGAGCAAAGGCAGCGTTGTGTTTGGGTAAAAAAAAACAAACATGCGGGGAGAAAGCTGTCTTGACCAAGGTTAGCCCAGAAAGTCCGTGGCAGAGTCCCTCCCTCCCTATAGCTCCAGCTTGCTGCTGTGCTGCAGCATCTCCCTGCTCCACTAAGAACTCCCCTTGAGATCTCCTGGCTGTTGCAGAAGCACTTGGAGGCCAGGACAGCTCAGCCCAGCGCAGAGCAGTGCCAGCTCCAGCTGCACCCTGCCAGAGCACAGAGCGTCCCGCAGCAGGATGTGATCCTTCCCACAGCACATGGCCCCTCTGGAGATGGGGCTGCAGAGGAGGAAAGGGCACTGGGGACAAAGTGAGGACCCAGGGAAGACCAGGGAAGGGTGAGGATCCTGTAGGTGCCGGGATGCTCCGTGCTGCAGGGTCTGTGGGATGGGGGCTACACCGGCAAGAAGGATTTGGAAAGAGGAACATGTCTCCTCCAAACCCTCCCTTAAATAGCAGTTCTGCTGTCAAACAGGAGAGGATGGAGCACTTCGATCCTAAATCTCCCGGTGCTCCAAGAGCTGCCTCCAGCCCCGCTGCCCCACAGCAACCCCAGCAGCCAGAAAGTGCTGGCAGGAGGGAAAGGGGTTGAGAAACTGCAGGCAGCAGGATGAGGCAGGAGCCAGCGCAAGCAGGATGTGACTAGGGGGTGACGGGGATGGCTGGAGGGGTGCCACGAGGAAGCGGCACCCGGGGCCGTCCTGCTACCTCCTCCCACGGCTCTCCAGCCCCAGCACTGCTCCCTGCACAGCGCTGCTCTGTTTCATCCCTGCCACCTAAATTCTCTCTCAGCAGCAAAGCAACGCCTTCTCCTTCCATTTACCAGGGGGTTTTGCACTCCTGCCCTTGCTGGGCGCATTCGGGGCTGTCACTCTGGGCTGTCCCTGCCACAAGTGCCCCAACCCTGTCAGTGCATCCGCGTGGCAAACCTGATATTTGCTGGTCCTTTTTTCAGCACAGATTTAACGGCAGTGTTGGGAGGTGTGGGGTTGAGGGGAGGCTCAGACCGTGCCCTTCTCAGTTCTCAAAGTGTTTTAGCACTGCAGAAAGGAGAGAGGAGAGAATGAAGGAGGAGAAGGAAGCAGTAAAAAAAAAAAATAAAAATAAAAATAAAAATAAAAATGACTTTTTCCGTCACTGAAAATGACACCCAAAGTAGCTTTGCTTTGTTTCCCCCCAGCTCTGGTTGGTCCCAATCTGCCAGCACCTTCCTCTGCTGTCCCCTTCACTGAGCTCCCATTTCTTTGTCCCCCACCTGCCCTTCCCCTCCACGTCCTCCAGAAATCCTCATGTTTCCCAGCTCTGACATGGCCCAGGGAAGCCAATGCAAGAGCCACTCCTGCTAGGGAAGAGGGGTCCAACCCCATGCACAAGCTGCAACACCCACCCTATTGAAAGGCAAGAAGGGACACGCAAATAACCCCCTCATCAATCCTGCCACACCAAAATGCATTAAAAAGGATGGAAAAGCAAACACCCTGATGGGCAAGAATGCACGCTGACACATTGGCTTTGTGGCAGTTCACCATCAGTCTTGGCTTCAGCTCATATCAAGTATGAAGCAGCTTTGCTGTAGGGCAGGATGACAGGGAGACCCCCCTGCTGCCCATGGGGTTTGGGAAGTGGGCTGGGGCTTCATGGCAAAGGTGCTCCATGGTCAGCTGGGCTGAGCAGGCATCCCACAGAGTGCTGGGTACAGGAAGGGGATCCCACACCTCTCTGGGAAGGTCTGTGATAAGAGATGAGTCACAGAATCGTGCAGGATGGAAAAGCCCTCTCAGATCCCCAGGTCCAACTCCATCCCACCCCACCACACCCACTGACACGGCCCTCAGTGCCACATCTCCTCTGAAGCACCTCTGGGACAGTGACCCCATCACTCCTGGGTAGCTGTGCCAGCGCAGCACCGCTCTTTTGGAGAAGCAGCTTTTCCTAATATCCAACCTGAAAACATCTCATTATACCCCAGCATTGCCCTGCTGTACAACAGAACCTCGAGAGCTCCAGGGTGCTGCAGCTCTGCTTTTCCTGCAGGGATATTGCATGGTGTGTATGCTGGGCAGGTTTGAAAATGCAAACCATCTTCCATCACTTGCATGACAAATTGTATTTGGGCATTTTCTGAAAGTTGTTTTGTTGTTTTTTTTTTTAAATTCCAGCAAACCTACTGCTTTCAGCTCAAAGATTACCTCAATGCAAAAGAGGAGATCTAAAGAAAATAAGCCACCTCCAAACACAATGAAAAAAAAACCCTTTCTGTCCAAACCAAACATTATGGCTTGACCTAAACTAAATATTCATATTGGTATGGGGCATTTTGTGGGTCCTTATTTTTTTCTCTTTGCCAGAAAGCCCCTCCTACATCATCCACATCTCTGTGCTGACCTGGTCCTACTTTCACACCCAAGACATTCTCTTTGGGCACCAACCAACACTCTTCCTTCATTTTCCCATCAACACTGTTCTCCTTCCATGGATGAGAGCCATTGGATGCTCATCCATCCACAGATCAGACCCAGTGGATGATCTTCACCAAAAGCAAGCAACACTTCAGTTCCCCTCGTTCAGAGACCTGTGAGCCTGCTCCAAGCATCCTCCAGAGGAAGCCATGGCCAAGAGGAGATGAGCACCTACAAGAGGTTGGTTTCCCTATGGCTGCAATAGGGGAAGTCTATGGGGAGGGGGCTACACAAAGAGATGTCGGGCTCCATTTCCAGCCCCCCACCCCTTGCTGGGTGTGCCAGGGCCGTGCCCTCCGACCTGAGGCAAAGAAGTGAAACCCCAGCAAAGTAGAAAACAAGTCGAGGCGTAAACACGGCACGAATCCGTGGCGCTTCACCGCGGTTCGTTATCTCTGGTTAGACTGGAGACGGTAGAGCTGGGTTTGAGGAGAGCAGAAATATCAGCAATTAAAGATATGTCGTGTCAAAAAAACTCTAAACTGATTAAAGTTGAAGGCTCCGTTTTCTTCTTTTCATCAGAGAACGGAATCAAAACCTGCCTGGAAAGACGCGCTCCCCCCGTTCCCAGCGCTCCGAAGGCAGCGCCTGCATCCGTCCTGCTGTGTCCCTGCATTTTAATTACCATCTTATTAATATTCATGAGGATAGGCACTCAAGGGGGATTGCAGTCTGTCATTCTCTCTCTCTTTCTTTCCCCCTCTCTCTCTCTCTCTCTCGGCTGAATCTGTGTGGGTTTTTTTTTTTCCCAACAGTTGGCGTGCCGCAGATCCGTACCGCGTGTGCGTGCCGACCCGAGGTGCTGTGTGTGCAAGGGGAAGGCGTGGGGGCTTTGCACTCGGGTGTGGGCGTGAGTGGGATTGCCCCCATTGTATACGACATCCTGAGACGAAGCTCAGCCGTGCTGCTCGGAGCGAGCATGTGTGTGCAAATGTGGTGCCGTGCACTCGGTGCGGGATGTCGGCATGGGAGCGGAGCGGCACAGTGCTGCCAGCAGAGCTGATGCACGTGAGAGCAGGCGTGCGACGAGCGTGTGCTCACACTTGCGTGCATTATCCTGGCTGTACAGGTGTCTCTGAGCACCTGGGTTGATGGTGTGGGACCCCATTGAGTCACAGCCTGGGCTGTCAGGGTGAAGTGGGACTTGTTTCGGGCATGCCCTGTGAGCCTGGTTTGTGGGCGCACAGAAGGCACAGGCTGGCAGTGGAGCTGGAGGTAAATCGATTTTCTCGTGCCTGAGTTGAACAACATGGGGTTCACCCGCTGCCTCGTGGCATGGAACACTTTTTATGATCCCTTCTGAACGTAATGGCCGTGTGGGTGGTGGAGAAGAGTTCCCAACACTTCTCAAACCCACACATGCCCTGCTCCCATCTAGCTGGAGGAAACATGACTGAGCTATCCCCAGCTGGGCCACAGCCCTTGGGGCAATGCAGAGCCATGGGCAGATCCCCCATCACCCCACAGTCATCCCAAACATCTCAACCGCCACCACCATGTGCACCTCTGTTTTCAAGGAAGATGCAGCACCAACCCTCCATATTTCCTCATCACCTTCCTCTTGGCTAACACCACCAAGAGCTCAAAGCCCTTTGGGGAAGGATCCCACGGCACAGTGCACAGCCCTGCCACCACCAACCACCTGCAGAAACCTGTGGAGAGACACTCCAACTCCACGGCTCCCCAACGCCCCACTTGCTCAGCTCCACAAATATTTGAATTAAGGTCCCCCGGGGAGCTGCAGTCACAGAGTAACTGATTTCTCCTCCTTCATTATATCTCTGTGTAATTTACCGAGGGACGGCAGCGTGTGCCTCCGTTCGAGTGAATTCCCAGCAGGACTCCCCAGAGCTCACAAATCAGGCAAAGGCAAGGCATTAGAATATGAAAGGTGAGGCTGGTCTCCCCACTAGGACTCATCTCACTCTTTCCTGGCTCCAACAGTCCCAAATTACGTTTGATTTCCACCTGCCACCTCTGGTGGGTCACGCTCCTGTGTGAGCAGGGAGATGCTTGGGCACAGGGCTGTATCCCCAGTCCTGTCCCTGCTTGCTCCTGGACCCTGGATGAGGGTCACCTCCCTCTTGGCAGCATCTCAAGAACCAGAGATGAAGAGTGCCAATAGAGCTAACGCAGCAAAGGTTTCCGGGTGAAACCATGTCACGCAGCAGAGATCCCTGCTCCAACATCTGACTGTTTTTACCCATTGCTGCATTTCTACAACAGCAAAGAAGAGCAGTCATTCCCTCTGTTTACTAGTTGAAGACTCCACCATTTAGATCTATGGAAGCTAACCTGCGTTCTGGATCCATCTGCATTGCATCTCCAGGAAGGTGGAACCAGATGAGGAGTCTGCCAGTGTGTCTCAATAGTCCCCTGAAAGAGGTCAGAGAGTTGCAAAGGAGAAATGAAAGAAAAGAAAGAAATCAAGGTCTTTGGTCTAAGGATGCACAACTTTGCTGCTTGGGATTGCTTATGAAACAGCAGTGTGAAGAGACTGATATTCAGCAGAACCAAATCTGTCCAAACTGAACCCAAACTTATACCCAGTCCTGCAGAGTGCCTGTGCTGAGGTGCCAGGTGTGTGCCCACGAGCTGGAGGCAATCAAGAGGTCACAGGACCTCCCGTGGGTCTGAACTGCATCTCTAGGGCAGGGGTTGTCCCTGGGCCAGCCTGGGCATTGCTGGGGATGTGGCACAGAGTGAGGCACCAGTTGGGCTCTGAGGCAGTGAGCTCTCTGTTCCAGATACGCTGCAAACAGCGGAGGGCAACATTTTGCTTCCTGGAAACCCAGAGAAAGAAGTGTTTTTCCTAAGAGCTGCAGCTCGTAGGCAACCTGTAATGGAGGCTTTAGAAAATTGTGTGTTCCCCCTTCCATCTCCTCTGCGAAGACAAAGCCTTGGCAGATGGCGGTGGTGCTTCACAGTGCTTGGATGTTGTTTGGGAGCTGGGTGCATGAACCCTAACTCTCTTTCTTCCCTTTAGAGGTACAGTATAAAATCTGCCTATGCCTCGGATATCTCAACTTCTCAGAGCCCACGTACTGTCTCTTCGCACAAGCTGACTCAAGGACCTAAGGCTCTTCAATCTGTAACAAAGAACTCCTTTCTCCCAAACATTCCCCAGTCATCGGAGCTAAATAGGCTGTGCTGAAACCAAACAAAATAAAGCCCATGTGAAGGCAGCTCCAAATCCCCATCTCCTTGCCAGCACTCTGAATTTCCTCCCATGGGCAAGCAGCTTCTCAATGTGCCAGGGCTCGGAAACACAGCGATGGGCTGGCATGGCAATGACAAGAGGGCACCTTGGAGGGAAATGTGCCATGGAGCTGCACCAAACACTACATGTGCTCTGTGCATGGGATGTCAAGAGCTGTGGAAAGCCTTGGAGCAGCTCCTGAGCAGCCTTCGTGGGCACCCAATGGGGAACTCCAAAAAGGGGGATGCATGGGCACCCAATGGGAAACCCAGATGCATGAGCACCATTGGGACCCTTCCACAGCCACAATGGGCTCCCGATGGAGCTCACACATCCCCCTGCTTGGGATCCCCAATAGGAGCCTTCCAAACACTCTGCCCAGGCCACCCCCTTGCTGCCCCAACCAGCTGCTTCCACCCTCCCCAATTTGGGGCCAAAACCCCCCACCGCAGTGCAGTGAACCCTCCTCCCCCAGCTCCTAGCACCAAGCACCACCTCAGCAACCATCGCGCTGAAGCAGCTGCCTTTCTCCATCAGCGAGGTGACGGCAGGAGGGGGTGTCCATCCTCCCCGGGGGGGGATTTTGGCAGAGCGCACCCGGAGGTGCTGCCGGTTCCGGAGCTGCGTGCCCAGGACCCCACGAATCTTTGGGGCCGGGGGCTTTCTGTGCGAGCAGCTCGTGATCAAAGCGCCGAGCACAGCCCGGGGCTTTCGGGGGGGGGGGGGGGGAGGAGGGAGGGGGGGAGAGGCGGGCGGCGAGAGATGAAACGGAGCAAAGTTCTTCGGGTTCGGACGCGGGAGTTGGAAAGGATTCGACGGCAGCTTGGAAAAGGAGGAGGAGAGGGCCGGGAGCAGCAGCGTTCAGCAGAAAGGAATGTCCTGATGGGACGGCAGCCTGAACGCCAGCCAGGACCCCCCCCCCCCCCCCCCCCCCCCCAAGGCTGTTTAAAAGCCCCGGACCTCTCCAAGCCCTTTAATTGGAGCTTTAAAAAACTTCCTTGTTCCTTGCAGCGGCGAGGTTTGCGTTTCATGCCCAAAATGACTCAATTCCCCCTCTCCCCCCCGTGCAAAAAAATTCTCCTTTGAAACGTTTGCTCGCAGCCAGCTCCGTCCCCTCCCCATTAGCCCCAGTACCCCCAGCCCTCACCCCACCAGCCTCTTGTGTGTATTCTTGTTCTCCCCTAATAATCCACATCCCAGCTGCCTCCCTCTCCCTTCACCCTCCTCCTCCCTGCCTCTCTCGCTCCCTCTTTCTCCCTCCTCCCCCCTCCTCCCCCTTTCCATAACTCAAAAGCTTGTCAGGCTGGTTCCAGACTGCTGGCGCCAGGCTTCACTCCAGGAAAAAAATAAAGCAAAAGAGAAAGGCATGCAAGGCAAAACAGCCCCGCCACATGAACACACATCAAACCAGCCCTTTATCTCCCCGGAATGCTCTCCCCTCTGCAGAGCTCCCTACCCCGTCCGACACACGCACACACTCGCTCCCATCGCTGTAACCCTAATGCAGCACACGCCCCGGCAGAGAAAAGCGAAGGAGCAAATACAAGATCTATTATTTATCAGTGTATCAATTATTTAGAGCCCCGTGGCGGGGAATGGGTGGGGAGAGGAGGCCTTCGTGGAGGCGGCTTTTAGCCCCATCATTCAGGTGAGGGGCTCCTTCCCGGACCCACCTCCCGCTGCCCACCCATGGGGAGGTGACCGCGTGCCTCCAGCCCCATCCTTTGCCCTCGTGTCCCACCTTGATCCTTCCTCTGACCACAGGAGCGCTGTTATTCTTCCCCATGAGCAAGAGAACCCCGTTACCCTGCTCTAACAACAAGGGGACCCCGTTATCCTGCCCCACAATCAAGGGAACCCTGTTTTCCTGCCCCATGAGCGATGGAATCCCGTTATCCCACCCCATGAACATCTCAGTCCTGGAAGCACCAGACGTGGTGTGTGATGATGGCTCTCACAGGGCAGACCTGGCCTCCACGCAGCCCTCAGCAAGGGGAATTTTGGCATCAAGCTGCAGTGCCAGCAGCACTCACCTGCTTTGGGGCAGCCTGCACGTACCTCCGAGCCACCTCCCTTCCCAGAGGATGCACAACGCCACTGATGGCCATCCCAAAATGGCAGTGGTGGCCAGTACAGGGATGTGGAGCCCAGGCCATGGTGGGGCTGTGCACTGGACCTGAGGCCCTATGAGTGCTTCTCCCCATAAGCTTCCCCTAAAGGTCTCTTCCCTACAGGTCTTGCCACAATATGGAAGGTCCACAGCTCTTCATCATATGGGGATTTTAGGCTGGTCTTTACCTCAGAAGGTGAGAATCACAGAATCAGTGAGGTTGGAAAAAACCTCTCAGATCCCCAAGTCCAACCCCAGCCCACCCCACCATGGCCCTCAGTGCCACATCCCCACAGCTCTGGGATGCCTCCAGGACGGTGACCCCAGCACTTCTGGGCAGCTGTGCCACTGCAGCACAGCTCTTTCAGACAAGTAATGTTTCCTAATATCCAACCCGAATCTTCTGGTGCAACTTGAGGCCATCACCTCTCATCCTACCACTGTTACCTGGGAGAGCCAACAATCCCAAATATGGGACTCAAACTGTGGGAGGAACACTACACCAAGCTACACAACGTCCCCACATCCTCCCAGCCTTGTCTTCTCTTGGATTTTGGAGCAAAACCCCAGCCCACCATATTCACAATCCCTTTGGCAAACAGTCCCATTCTCCAGCCAGGTGACACTGCATGGTGCTGTGCCGACATGCTTGGGTTCACCCATGTGCCACTGCTGAGAGCTCCCAGGTGGCCACCACAGCCTTCCCTCGAGGTAGCTGTGTTTCAGCAGCAGATCATGCTGAAGTAGCTACAGTGGGAACGTGTGATGAGGTGGGTGTGCTAAGAAGATTTTTTTTGGCAGACTTCAGGATGACTTTATTGCTCACAAGTTCTCGAGTCATGCCTGAGTAACACACTCATCGCGTGTCTGAAGCAAAAAAAACAACAACAAAAAAACCCTTACCCCAGCACAAAGAGGGATACGTTTTGCTTCCCAAGGATACCAAGAAGCATGCAGGAGAGCCACAAAAGGGCCCTGAGACCCAAGGATTCTGCTGTGCTGCTCCCAAAGATGCTCTGCATCCACCCCAACCCCAATGGTTTCTGAGCATCCCTCCAACAGAGAGGGGAGAGGGCTGCAGCATGGAGCCCTACTGATGTTGGCTTTTGGGTGCCAATAGCAGCACCAGCTCTCAGGGCTCCTCACCAGCCCCGAAGGAAGACTCAGCTGGGATGCAAGTCTTTTCCCCTTGGGTTAAGAAAGAGTAAGAGTCAGCTCTTGCACTTCACTGTCCCAGTCCTTCCACACCAAAAGCTTAAAACAGATGAGAACTAGTTTGGAAAAGGGGGAAACGCTTGACCTTATTAATTCCATTCCATTCTAATGGGTTCAAAAAGGACATTTTTGTGAGTTCTTCTAGGACAGTTTTCATCTTTTTTTTCTTTTTTTTCCAAAAAAGCCCAACATTCCAGAAAAAAAAAACCAACCCACATTCCCTATATTTGCTGCTACTGAAAGAGCAAATCTATCTCTGGAAGGAAAGCAGGGCGACCTGGGGAAGGAAGAACTTTTGTTGAAGATTGAGGGGGAAAAGCAGAAGGACCTGAGGAGCCCTTCATTTAGAACCAGGCAGTTTTGTGAGGAAGAGAAGAATTCCATTCCATGGAGAGCTGTTCATGAAAACTTTGCGTGCGCTCATGTTTAAAGGCAGGGTGTGTTTCGGGGGTTGTTTTTTTTTTTTTTTCCTAGCTAAAATTAAAACTCCACGTGCAAAAAAAACAAAAAAAACCAAAAAAAACAAAAAAAAACCATGTCAGCTGTCCCCAGGCACAAAGAGCATCCCAGGGACAGCAGCAGTGCCGGGACAGCCCGTGCTCCTCACCAAGCAGCCCCCATTGCCACGATGCTGCTGGCAATGGCTGCTGGCAGGGGAAGGTTCAGCTGCATCCTGCTCTGTGCTGCCTTCAAAAAAGCCAAGGTGTGAGGATCCCGGGTTGGATACAGTGTGCCCTTAGGAAAGAAGGAAGGAGGACTGGGGCAGAGCAATGGGTGCCGGTGCGCAGGGACCGGACGGGGATGGCGGGTGGCTGCAGCCAGTCCCAGCTGTATCCTTTTCCCATTTCCCTTCCATGCCTGTGGCCGGGCTCCCACCCCGCTCCCGCCCCGCTGAGGTCAGCTCCGGCTATTCTCTCCTCCACTTCCCCTGCTCCTGCCATGCACTTCCCTTCTCCCTTTGATATTTCACCTTCGCTGCGTCATCCCCCCGCGTGCCGGGTGGGGGCTCGGTTCCACGTGGACGTTCTGTTCCTTACTATTGCCACAGGGTCGTGTCGGGGCTGTCTCTCACATCACCAAGAGCCAATTGTCTCTGTACTTTTGGGGCTCGTGTCAAGAGGGCCAAATAGAAGCACTGGGATGGCCAAAAGGCAGCCAGGCCTCCCACCATTGGCACCCAGCAGCATCATGTGCTCCCTTGGTTGCCCTCTGGCTGGTTTCTCTCTTGCCCACAACAAATAAGCCATCTCACACCGAGGAACTGAATGGACAGAAGCTTTTAAGTGCACTGAACTACTCACACAGGGTAGAGCTCTGTGTTAGTTTGGTGGTGGATTTTCTCACAGGTCTCTCCTGGAGCACCATCAATCCCCAGCCTGCAGCAGACACATCAGCTGGGCATCCCACCTGGACAGGACATCCCTGGTTCTGCCCCTTCCAAGCAGCGAGTTGTCACACAGCCATGAGCATGTGCTCCCAAACCATCACAGATAGCACTGCCCATTTGAAGTCTCTCATATGTTATCTGTAGGAAAAAACAGATCTCAGAGCTCCCTCCCAGCCTCACAGTGTGCCCCAACCACCCAGGAACCACCAGCACTACTGTACGGATTGGGATGGGGGCACAAGCAGAGGAGAGGCTTGGCACCAAAAACCAAGCAGTCCTTTTCACCAAGCAGGCACTGAAATGGCAGCACTCAGTTCCAGATGCCAGCTGAGATGGTGGAAGAGGTACCATCAACACAGAGGTACAGCCTCAGTCTGCTGGCATCCTATCTTCTTAAACCCTTCCATTTGCCAATGGCACCAAGAAGCATCAGCCAACATTTCCAAACCTCCTCTTTAGTTCATGGATGCTCAGCGCGGGGTTGCTGCCTTCAGTCTCCTGTCTGTACCCAGGGGGTCCTATGGGAGCAAGGAGGGAGCTGTAGAGATAAGCAGCAGTGATGACCTGGGGTCCAGGCAGCCCCACAGCCCAAAGGATGGTTTGCAATGGGGCAAAAAAACACTATTTTGTGGTTTAAGATTGAAGTGCATGTGCACCAGTCTGAGTGACTCACATGGATTTTTGTCCCCCTCTTGGAGGTCTTTCCTTCCTTCATTGTCATTTTTGATAACCTGAAATATTAGTCAGCTGGACTGGAGCTGCACATTTTATTTAACATCTCCAAAGGAAAATACAGCGCTAGCATTGAAGGTGAAAAACACACAGAAAGAGCGTGGTCAACTCCAAGCATTCAGATCTCCTGAAGATTTCCAGACTCTGGAAGAAATCAGGGAACAGCCTTTAAAATAATGAGATTTGCAAGAGAAAATGAAAGAACAGTTGGCTTGTTTTTATTTCCCTGTTGGCTCCCAAGCCTTTAGGACACCCTTAT